CAGCAACCCCCCCCACCCCCCCCCACCCATGGATCGCCCACAGTACAGGGTCTCTGATGTACAGCAAAGGCATCCCACAGCCCAGGAGTCTCCAGTGTGGTGCCAAGCAAGCTGGGGGACCCAGAAATCACGGCAGGGTCCTGTATGCCTCTGGGAGACCCCCCTGCTTTGGAGCTTGTGACCACACAGGACTAAAGAGAGGTGGAGGCAGGGAGCAAAGCCTGACAGCTGCAGTTTGGGGACCCCTGCCGTAGACCTCCTTGCAGCTTGGGGGGGCTTTGAAAGTCTCCAGAGCACTGAGCAGGACTTGGCAGCTCTGGGACGTGGCTGGGGCTTCCCCCTGCTGGCTGCATTGGCCCCATGCCCGGCTGGGCGGACTTGGGTTGGATGGTGTGGGGGCTAGGAGCCTGGTGCCGGAGGGAAAAAGTGTGGCTGGGGGGAGCAGGGGAGCCTTGTCTCCGCCCAGCAGGCTGGCAGTCGTGGCTCCCTCCTCCTTGCCCTCGTGGTCACTGTAGCTCTGGTACATGGCGCTGTACAGACCCAGGGCTGCTCGGTGCCACCAGGAGAGCAGAGGCAGGTGCACCAGGCACAGGAGGGTGAAAAGAGACTGTTAAAGGAAGAATGAAGCACAGGTTTGCACCTTTGAGAGAAGTGAAGCTCACTACCATTTCACTAGGGCCAGGCTCCATCCTTCAGCGAGTCTGGACCCTTCACCTTCTTCTGCCAGGATAAGCCATGGTGTCTTCTGGCCAGGCAGCCGGGCTGGATCATCCTGCCCTTCTTCCTAGCTCTGCAGTGATCACAATGCTTCTGTGTAGGACAGGGGTCAGCAACCCCTGGCACGCATGCCGAGCATGGCACGCAAGGCCATTTTGCTCCGCACACCACGCCAACCCGGGCTCTAAGCAGCTGTTGCCAGCCACAGAACCCAGGCTGCTCCCAGCAGGCGGCTGGGAGGCTGCAAGGCCTGCTACAAGCAGCCTGAGCTCCGTGGGCTGGCTGCAGCCGGGAGGATGCAAACAGCTGCTCCGGGCTCCGGCGTGTCGGCACTCCAGCACTTTCCAAGATAGACGTTGTGGTTTTTTTGGCACCCCGGTCAAAAAACGTTGCCTACCCCTGGTGTAGGATGATAGCCATCCTCAGGACGGGGATGGGTGTTAGCAGCCTGGGGGCTATATTTCCCTCTGTTTGGCCCAAGGGAGAAGGACGCCAGGAGGATAGACAGTTATGGAGCTAGCTGGCTTTTTGGGAAGCCACCCCGCCACAGATTTTCCACGTGGCCATGATCAAATCCGTTTGCCTTTCTGGCCCCAGCTGGACACTGGGGAGAGGGACCTGCCTAGCTTTGCCTATTAGAGACACCAGGCGATGGGGCCTTGTTCCAAGGGCCATGTCCCTAGTAGAGGCAGACCCATGTCCCATTTCTCACTTCCCAGGGCCTGTGTCCTTTCCCCTTCCCTCAGTGCTCATCACATGGGACCTGCACTGTTCTGGTGGGGCATTTTTTTGGGGTGGTAACACAGTGAGCCTTAGGTGTCCATTGGAGGGCAGCTGGTGGGTGCTGTAGTGTAGACAGGACTTCGGGGCTGGTGCACAACCCACTGGAATAGTGTAGTGTAGACAGGGCTCAGGAGCTGGCAAGGCCTTGGGGACAGGAGGGAACAGCTCCAGAGCTTGCCAGTTTGGGAGGGTCCTGGCACCTCTGATCCTGTCAACCTTGGCTTTGCAAAGACCATGGAAGCCAGGAAAGGCTGTTCCTGTCTTCGTGGGTCTTCCAGCCCAGGTGTTGCTATCAAAGACGCACAGCCCACACCAGCATGGGGTAGAGGCACACTGTGCATAGCGGAGGTGTGGGATTTCCTTTCCCCCACCCCGCGCTGGCTGCACCCCAGCCCAAGCCCTCTCACTGAGCCTTGCCTGGAGTGCAGGGGAAGCCCAGGAGAAATCCTCTGCCAAACCAGTGTCTGTTTGAAGGAGCCCCTTGCTGCTCCCGCGCTTTGAAGGTGCGTGGAGTTCCCTGTGCCCACCAGGGTGCCCGCCAGACACCGCCGGGAGAGGCTGAGACATGGGTATGGAAATCACAGTGCTCTAGAAGCCTCCAGCCCAGTTTCAAGTCCTTCGCTCTCCCTGCTGGCTGGGATCACGTGCCCGCAAGAGACCAGCATGCTGCTGTCTCCACTGGCCATGGGACAGGACTGTGAGTCTCTCAGGAGCAGGCCCAGACTGCAGCTGGCCTGACCCCATTTCGGCAGCCCCCACCCTGCCAGATAGTGCAAGGCCCAGCCTCCCGTGATGGCTGCCTTTGAGCATCCGCAGTTTGCCAGGCTGCTGTCTCTAAAGCCAGAAGGAACAGAAAGCTGCTTC